CATATCATATATGTATTTCTTTACTTGTGAGTTGTCTATTCATTTCCTTGGTCCCATTTACTCTTCATTTCAGTTAGGCATATACGTCCTACCACCTGGGTGAAACTTCTTTAACAAAAATTTTTTTTTTTTTTTTTTTTTGTTAGACATTCTAATTGCCAAATGCAGTGGGCACTTAGTTGAAGTCTCTGTGGCACTTAGCTCTATTGCCCACTTCCTTCTTGGAGCCTTTCTTCCCTTGGCTCCCATGACACATCCTTCCAGTTATGCACCTTTCTCTCTGGCATCTCTCTGTCAGCCTTGTTTTCTGCTCGTTGTCTGTTACCCAGCATAATTGTTGGGTCCCCTGCATTCTATAGTTGGCCCTCTTCTTCTTTCACCTTACTCATTTTCCATAAGTAGTATCATGTACCCCAGGGATTTTTAACTACCACCTATGCCCTATTCATGAATCTTCAGCTCATAACATTTTTTGAGTTCTGGCCCTTATATCAAACGGCATAATGGACAGCTCCATTTGGTGGTTCCCTAGACACCTCAAAATGCAGGTATGCAAAATATAACCTAACTTAACCTCTGAAGCAATCTCACATTCCCTAAACCTGTACCTTCTCCTGTGTTACCTGTCTTAGTGAATGGAACTATGATGAACTCAGTCAAGCCAGAAACCAAAAAGCCATCCTAGTCTACTTCTCTCACTACTTTTAAATGGTCATCAAATACCCTATTGATTTTATCTCCTAAATGTCTCCTGAATCTATTGACTCGTCTCCATCTTTATTTTTCTTGCTCTGATTCAGTCCTCATCCCCTTTACCACCTTCTAAATGGTCTCCCGTCTTCCCTCGGTTCATGTTCCACATTGTCATCAAAGTGGTCTTTAAAATATGTAAATATGGCATTACTCCCCTACTTAAAACCCTTTAATGTCTACCTCGTTTCAGAATAAAATCCAAATTTATTTTATATGTGATCTGGTATATATATGACCTGGTCTCTAGTTTCATCACTTCCTTTATTTTCCCTCAACTAACACAGTCTCTCTCTCTTTCAGACATACTTCATAGTTTTCCTGAGCATGCCATGCTCTCTTACACTTCCATGTCTTTGTATGTGATATTCCTTCTAACTGAAATGCCTTCCTTCACTTTGTACAGCTAACAAACTCCTACCTATTCTTCAAGAGTCACTGTAGCAGTGTTTCTTCTCTGAGGTCATGGTTTAATCTCAGGGTGGAATCAATCCTATTTTTCTTTATCCCCCTCAACTAGATTTTATATGTGCTTTATTACAGAAATATTTGTGCTGTGTTAGAACTATTTGTGTGGGTTTTTCTTAAATTTTGTTTTATTTTCTACATGTCTGTCAGTGAACTCTTTGAGGGAAGGGACTGTATTTATAGTTTTTATTTCCAGCATCTAGCATACTGCCTGGCACAGAGGGAATCCTCAGTGAATGTGGGCTGACTGAATAAGGAATCAATGCCTCAGAGTCAGTTACAGTGTGGAGCACGGTGTGGGCATGGCTGAAAGGCCAGTCTCCATCTCGTCTTGGGCCTGGAAGTCTTCTACTAAAACAAACACACAACAAAATAACAAAAACCAAGCTACTTTATTGAAAAGAGGAGTGCCTTATTCTTTCCTTATGTGGCCTTTTGGGAGGTTTTACAAAGCAAATTCATAGTTTTAGGAAGTAGCCCTGCTCTCAGGAAGCACCCTAGAGTCTCTGAATATTGCTGAGGAGTGTGTTTTTAATAACTGATAGTAGAAAAAATGGAAGCTTTCTGGACAATAGTATTTTGACAGGCAAATAGGACTTTAACCTTAAGAAAGGTTACAGTGTAAAGGGAAATATTAAAAATGTATCTAATAGTCCACCTTCTATGGGAGAATCCCTGAATGATGCTCACATGATAGTGAATTCCTGTGGTTTTCCAGCCCTGGCTTCTGAAGCTCCCTGGTTCATAGAGGTCCTGCTGGGATGGCGTGGACGGAGGGAGGAGAAGAGGAGTAGAAGTTGAGAGCCTAGCAGGCAGAGCTCCAGGTTCTGCTACCTGGCTTCTTAATCAGAGCAGCTCTACTTTTAACTTGGTCATACATTAGGGCCATTACATAAGATTTTGTTTGAAAAAAGAATTCTGTTGCTAAAAGTTTTTAAAGGTGAAAACCACTGGTATGGATCATCTGTTCCAGTGTTACTTGGACTTGGAGGCTGGCTTAAGTGAAAAATACTTTGAGTCACAACTCACATGTGTTCCTTTTCTGTCAAGCTGGAAGAGCTCACAGAGGCTGAAGATGCTCTCTCTGAAGCCAATGCATTGAACAACTACAATGCTGAAGTATGGGCATATCTGGCTCTGGTCAGCCTGAAAGTGAGTGTTTGGTATCCTCCCACAATTCCTTTTCAGGGCACAGAGGTGAGGGGCCAAGGAAGCAAGAGGCAGTGGGATGGTCAGTAACGTAATGATAGTTGAGGTTTGGTGAGCTCCAGGTTTGATCATTGCACTGATGACAAAGGAACAGCCAAGGCAGAGCAGCCTTTACTTGGAATGTGCTTAAAAATCATGTAGTAAGGTGTGTGTCTGGAAAGAGGTTCTACAGGGGCTCTGCTAGTCTTTCTGAATCTTTCCTTCCTGTTGAACAGCTGGCTGAGGATTCTTGTCCTTAATTGGGAAATTGGAGATAGTATTGTGGGAGTTCGTGATAGTTGCTAACTTTAGTGTAGTTAAAGACTGCATTGTTTTAAAAACCTTAGCTGTGTAACCCCGGCAAATTATTTATCCTCTCTGCTTCAGTTTCCCCACCTGTAAAATATGGCCCCACAAAAAAGACAGAAAGGACAAAGGGGCCATGGTTATCTCCTAGGGCTGTTTTTAGGATTAAGAATTAAAGTATCTGGGATCTATTTTTCTACATTTGGAGGCTTTCAGTTGTCCAGCTTTGCCAGTACCTGGGTTGGAAACCCACTCAAACCAGTTACCTCCTTGCCAAGACTCAGTGGAACAATGGGAAGTCAGGTTTAACTACATCAGAGAGCTACTGTGTCATCTTTTTACCAGCTCATATCCTCTGCTCATTAAGTCCTGGTCACCAGATGTCCTACTTCAGTTTGATACTTACTTTTCATCATTACCATCCCATAGGTAACTAGTAGAGCCACTAAGATATAGGATATCAAGTCTGTACAGGCAAATCTTTTGGAACTTTTGGGTAATAAATCATATTAAACATAAAAAAAAGTATGTAAAGCACTTAAAACACTGTAAACAATATAAAACACATACCTGTTGCCATCGAGTTATTCTGACTCATAGCGACCCTATAGGACAGGGTAGAACTGCCCCTATAGGGTCTCCAAGGCTGTAATCTTTACGGAAGCAAGACTACCACATCTTTATCCCGCAGAGTAGCTGGTGGGTTCGAACATCACCCTTTTGGTTAGCAGATGAGCTCTTAACCACTGTGCCACCAGGGCTCCTTGTAATATACATAGCAAGCACTATACAAGCATTAGCTATTATTAACAGAATGCCTTCAGTCTTAAGAGGAACAAATGACTCATTGTGCTTTCATAAAAAAATGAGGCCAAGTTGTCTTTAAGCTTTTTGAAATGGAGGAGGGATTTTTTTTAAATATTAAAATGTCTGCTTTTCCCTATTACCTTTCATTTTCTTGCTTCCTCTCTGAATTCAGAGGTTCTTAACTGGGAAGGCGTGGAATCCTCTGCCTTAGGTAGAAATGTGTGAGGCAGTGCGCTTTCCCCATCATAATGTTGGTGACATGTCATCATCACCAGCTACTGCTCTTTTTTCAGGCTGGACGGCAACTGGAAGCTGAGCAGGCCTACAAGTACACTATGAAGGTATGACGCAGATGCCGCAGTTGTTTGCCTGGATTGAAGACTGCGCTGTACTGAGGCTGGGAAAAGGGGAGGAATGTGCGGCTTACTTGAGGACTTTAGAGCATTTCATGATGTGTTTCTTACCATTTTTGCCATTATCATGGGGCTGTTGAATAATAACCCCCGTTACATGTGGGGACCTTTTTTCCACCTCTTTAGAGAGAATGTGGCTTAATGGAAAGACAGCTAGCCTGGGAGTCAGTAGGCCTGAGGTATGGCTCTAGTTTTGCTGTTAACTTATTGTGTTAACCTTTCTGGACTTCACTTTCCTTATGTGTAAAGTGGAGGGGTTAGTGTAGTCCAGGGGTCAGCACACTTTTTCTGTAAAGAGCCAGAGGGAAAATACTTTAGGCTTTGTGACCCAAACCATCTCTGTTTTAACTACTAAAATCTGCCCTTGTAGTGCAAAGGCAGTCATAGACAATGCACCAAAGAATGAGCGTGGCTGTGTTCCAATAAAAACTTGTTTACAAAAACAGGTGCCAAACCCCGGTCTATTCAATTAGTTATGAATTGCAAGTAATACAGACTTGAATGGCAGTGGCTTAAACAAATTAGGAGCTTTATTTTTCCCATCTAATGAGACGACCAGGGCTGGTACTGCATCTCTACAACGTCATCAGGGACCCAGCCTCTTTCTTTCTGTTCTATCAACCATAGCATGCAGTTTCCATCCTAAATGGTTGCAGGACAGCCAGTGTAGCTCCAGCCACCATACCTATGTTTCAGAAGGATAAAGAACAAAAGGGGGTTATAGGACCAAGGGGCCATGGTAGTATTTAACCTCCCTTTAAAGAACTTTCCCAGGTGTCCTACCCAATGATTTTACATTTCATTGGCCACTATTGGTCATAAGACCACCCCTAGCTGCAAGGGAAGCAGGAAAATGAGTTTTTTAGCTAGTTGGATTAAAAAAATTAGGGTTGTGTTAGTGAGAAAGGATAGAATGGGTATTCAGTAGGCAACTAGATTTCTCTATCACACATCTAGATTTTGAAATTAAATTAAGATCTGTCTATGATTCCTATGTCTTTTATTCCCTTCTGGGATCATGTGAGGATAGCAGACATTAGCCAACAGATATTGGGTGATAATGTGAACCCTTTTTAAAATAAACTTTATTAAAGTTACTTTAACAAGTAATGCACAAATAATGTGTTCATGCTACTTGATGGGTTTTCACAAAGGAAACATATCCATGTAACCAACACCCATATTCTGAGGTCTTTTAATGGAGTTTTCATGAAATAGGGAATATAGGAAGAGCCAGTTCTATCACGAGGAACTGTGTTCTTTGCTGTGGCCCCACAAATAAGGGTTGTCCAAGGCCACATAGGTATGACAGGTGTGACGTGTCTTTCTCTTCCTTCTCTCATGCAGTTGAAATTGAAAAATGAGGCTCTGCTTGCAGAGATCCACATGGTACAGGAGACGGTTGGTTTTGGAAATCCATCTTTCTGACATCCTTACAAGCTGAGGAATTTTCTGTATGGGACTCTAAGAGAGCCCCTCTCCTTCCCAGAGAAATGAAACCCTGGAAGTTTCACTATATGAAGCCTGGGGCTGTAGAACAAAAGACTCTCCACTATAAACAGAAGCCCTTCATTATTTCTATTGGCGATGTTACTGGATGTTTTACTAGTTGACAGTAAACTGTATGACAATAAAAATTGATCTAAGAGATTAAAAATTCAACAGTGTGGTTCTGGAGTTAATTAAAGTATACTGAATATGTTGTGGGGTCATTTATGAAGGTTTCTGATGGAAGCTTATCAGGATCACTCCTGGAGAAAGTCAACAGCTAAGGTCCCTGGCCCAGTTCACTAACTCAAACTTAGGACTTACGGCATCATTTTCTAATGTGGATCTAGTGGAAGACTGCTGTGCTTGGTCAATGTATTAGGGCAAAGAACATATCAATTGTGGCCAGGCCCTTTGGATCCAATGGTGAACAGAGAAGCTGAGCAGAGAGGTCCTTGCTGGAGGTGAAGGAGACTCCCTTTAACCACCGGTACCTTCATAGATCCAAACCACAAGGGATCCATGAAGTCTGTTACTCTACAACAGATACGAAACTCCTCACAACTGAGTCCACATTCTAGGGCTAGAGATGCCAAAGAAACCATACTTCACCCCAGCCCTTCCTCCTGGGTCACAGCACAGCAAAACCAGGAATAATAGTTTCCCCCTTAAAATATTTTTTAAAGGTATGATTACCTCTACTGTAGGGGAGTAGAGGTGGGACGGGGAGCATAAGAGGGAAGGTGAGAGGCACATCAATAAACAGAAAAGGATAAAGTAAACTCGGGTCATTTACAGTCCGGCCCTAACGCTGCTTCCAGTATGAAGTCTTCCTGAGGCCCTCAGAAGTGTCAGGTTCGTCTTCTCTCCTCCCCCTGCCTGCACTGAGTACTGGCCGCCCCTAGTTACTCTGATTAATCATCGTCTCTCCAACGGACAGTGAGCTTCTTGGGGACAGGGACATCTTTGCGTTCTCATCACAGCGCCTCTACCGTTTGCGGGATGGACGATTTGTAGAGCCCTTGGCACTTCTCTTAGCCGCTCTCGGTAGTCTTCCAACAAGCCTCACTCCAGCAAACACACGGGAGTAAGGGGCGGGAGCACGCACAGCTACTCGCGCAACATGCAAATTGTAGCGCCCCTCCTCCCCTGCTCCGCGGCAAGTTCTGAATTAAGATTCGTTATGGGTCACCTGTTGCATGATGGGAACTGTAGGCGGAGGAAGGAGCCCTGGTGGTTAAATGGTTAAGCGTCCAAAAGGCTGGCAGTTCCAATCCACCAGCCGCTCCTTGGAAACCCCATGGCAATGTTCTACTCCGTCCTATAAGGTTGCTATGAGTCTGAATCGACTGGGACGGCAACATGTTTAGGAGCGGAAGAACCGCGCTGCATTGCGGGAAGTATAGGGCCGGAAGCGGAAAAGGTGGGGCGAGCGGCTAGTCCGCCCTTGGCACCGGGGCAGTAGGCTTTGGGTTGTCTGGGCCCAAGTCCTTCTCTGTGGTGGTGCTGTTTCTCCGCGTCGATCTTACGCGCCGCGTGAAGCTGTAGAGCAGATCCGTACGGGCGGCAAGACGCTCCGTGGCACCGCGATTGGCGTACAGGCCCCGGCGCAAGCCGACTGTACCATGGTCCAGCTCAGTGAGTGATGAGGCCCCGCCAGACTTTCCTGCCGGTCCCGGGGCTCGGGGGTACGGGACTTGGTGGAACCGCGCTTTCGTGGGCGCACTGGAAGAGCTCGAACCTGAAACAGCACACAGCTTTACGCTTGATTCCCCACCCCCACCCCCGCAGTTGTCCCCAGTTAATCGTCTCTGAAACCCTGTGAGGTAGATGCCACCCGCCTTATAGAGCAGCTGAGGCTCGAGAAGAACAGGAGTTGGACAGAGTCATAGAGTTAATAAATAGCAGGCCTGTGCTGTGGATTGGGGGATGAGGAGGAGGTCATTTCAGGCTGTAGTGAATAGAAGGTTTTTCTTAAAGATGATGGTAGCTGAGCCAGAGTGACAAGAATTGAGAACATTTCAATGGAGGAAGGGGATTGTGTCCTTTACCTCATTTTGTCCATTTTGTGCCCTGCGGTCTTGTGTCCTAATCAGTTATTTCTCTACAGCTACCCTCCTCTGCAAGGCCTACCGTAGGGGCCACTTAACCATCCGCCTTGCCCTGGGTGGCTGTGCCAACCGGCCTTTCTACCGCATCGTGGCTGCTCACAACAAGTGTCCCAGGGATGGCCGTTTTGTGGAGCAGCTGGGCTCCTATGATCCACTGCCCAACAGTCATGGAGAGAAGATTGTCGCCCTCAACCTGGAGAGGATCCGGCATTGGATCGGCTGCGGTGCCCACCTCTCTAAGCCTGTGGAAAAGCTTCTGGGTAACTCAGCCCTAGTCTCATCCTTATCCTCATTGAGGGGATTTTAAATTAAAGTTGGCCCTAGAATGATCAGAATGATGAATGGTTTTCATTACCTAGAGGCTGCTCAGGACTTGAGTGGGAGCTGAACGTCTGATCTAATTGCCATTTTGAATTTGGAGACCTCTATGGACTTCTTCATGAGACTTTTTGGGTGACTGAGATTTTATGCTTAAAAATGGGAATAGTATGTCTCGAATGGCCATCTGTTTTTATCCCTTTTTCAAGTAAGGAGAATAGCATTAGGAAGTAGACAACATACATTCTCTCCTTGTAGTTAAATGGGGTGGGGAGGAAGAGGTGGGGCAGAGCTTGGCAAGTGAGGAGCATGTTTAACATCCGTGCTCCGGGTCTGGTCTCTGTTAGACCTCAGTTGTGTGAGGCAGAGTTCTCAGGGAAACATTGACTTATACTGTGTTACAGTGAGTGAAAATGCTGTTGTTTTTAGGTCTTTCTGGCTTTTTCCCTCTGCATCCCATGATGATCACTAATGCTGAGAGACTACGAAGGAAACGGGCACGCGAAGCCCTCTTAGCTTCTCAGAAGACAGATACGGAGGCTACAGAGACGGAAGCGAGCTGACTTCGGTGTGCACAGCAATGGGAGCAACATCGCCAAGGACCTCTTAAAACACTTACGCAGAGCTCTTACTTTTGTTAGATTCAGAGGTTAATAAATGGGGTTTTCTCAGGCACCCATGCTCTTCTGGAGGCAGGAGAGGGTGGCAGCTCTCTGTAGCCCTGGCTTGAGCTGGTCCCAGAGAGAGACTTGTTCTTGTCTCATACAGAGCTGTGTCTAGGTACTAATTTGCTTTTTCAGCTTTGTCTCTTGGGAAAGACAGTGGCTGTGGGGAGGGTTGGACTTCGGGGTTGGGACAGCTTGACAGTCAGCTGCCTGCCAAGACTTACCTTCTTCAAAGCCCCAACTAGCATGTCCACGGCCCATCCCAAGTAACAAAGAACACAGTTACCTTGCTCATTGTTTTTTGTAATTTCAGATTTATATAGTCTTGCTTGACGATACTCTTAAATTTACAAAGGTAGATTGGTTGTAAAATTGCTTTGGGAGCGATGATAATCTTTTTAGAATGAAGAACTGGAAGAAAGCTAACATTGTAAAGCACCTGCATAAATCCTAGGCCATTTTTATTATACAAGGTTATTTGTGAGTATTATAAAGTATCATGAAAATGTTGTTGTCGTGGTTAGGTGCCACTGAGTCAGTTCCGACTTGTAGCGACTCTGTGTACAACAGAATAAAACACTGCCCTGTCCTGCGCCATCCTCACAATCCTTGCTATGTTAGAACCTGTTGTTGCAGCCACTGTGTCAATCCATCTTGTCAAGGGTCTTCCTCTTTTTCACTGATTTTCTACCAAGCATGATGTCCCTCTCCAGGGACTGGTCCCTCCTGATAACATGTCCAAAGTATGTAAGATGAAGTCTCACCATCCTTGCTTCTAAGGAGTGTTCTAGCTGTACTTCTCCCAAGACAGTTGTTCGTTCTTCTGGCCGTCCATGGTGTATTCAACATTCTTCACCAACACCATAATTCAAAGGCATCAGTTCTTCAGTCTTCCTTATTCATTGTCCAGCTTTCACATGCACACAAAGGAGATTGAAAATACCATGGCTTAGGTCAGGCGCACCTTAGTCCTCAAAGTGACATCTTGCTTTTTAACACTTGAAAGAGGTTTTTTGCAGATTTGCCCAATGCGTCATTTGATTTCTTGACTGCTGCTTCCATGGGCGTTGATTGTGGATCCAAGTAAAGTGAAATCCTTGACAACTTCAATCTTTTCTCCAGTTACCATGATATTGCTTATTGGTCCAGTTGTGAGGATTTTGGTTTTCTTTATGTGGAGGTAATCCATACTGAAGGCTGTAGTCTTTGATCTTCCATCAGTAAGTCCTTCAAGTCCCCTTCGCTTTCAGCAGGCAAAGTTGTGTCATCTGCAGATGCAGGCTAATGAATCTTCCTGCATTCCTGATGCCCCGTTCTTCATATAGCCCAGCTTCTCAGATTATTTGCTCAGCATGCAGATTGAATAAGTATGGTAAAAGGATACAGTCCTGATGCAAACTCTTTCTGATTTTAAACCACTGAATATCCCCTTGTTGTGTTTGAATGACTGCCTCTTGATCTATGTACAGGTTCCTCATGAGCACAGTTGTGGAATTCCCAGTTCTTTGCATTGTTATCCATAATTTGTTATGATCCATACAGTCGAATGTCTTTACATGGTCAATAAAACACAGGTAAACATCTTTCTGGTGTTCTCTGCTTTCAGCCAAGATCCATCTGATATCAGCAGTGATATCCTTCATTTTATGTCCTTTCCTGAATCCTGTTTGAATATCTGGCAGTTCCCTGTACTGCTGCAACTGTTTTTGAATTATCCTCAGCAAAATTTTACTTGGGTGTGATAGTAATGATATTGTTCGATAATTTCCGCATTCTGTTGGAAATCCTTTCTTTGGAATGGGCACAAATATGGATCTCTTCCAGTCAGTGAAAATAGTTAGGATTATCTCCATGGGGAAGCTGAGGCTCAGAGGTGGTAACTTGCCCAAGGCCACAAAATTAGTACTGGGCAAAGCAAAGATTCAGACCCCTTTGTGCTTACCTAGAAGGCCCTTTCCAACATGTTATCTATACGGGGAGGGGGGGAAATGAAGAAAGGGGTCTTTTCAAAAGTCTAGTTAATCAGTGATAGAACCAGTTTAGACATCATGAGTTTGATAATATAAATGCTGTGCCAAAAAATCCTAAATCCAACATTATCTCTTCCACCAGAACCATGAAATTCTACCTACAACTGTAAGTGTGGATTAGATGGTTTTAGTGCGTAGATCTTAAATTCTTGCATGAGATTAGAGATTTATAGAGGAGATTCTAAAGCCCTATCAATGGACCAACGTATTTTACTCTCTAACTTTTATATTCTGAGAACAGTTACCAGCTACCTCAAATCCTGGGGTCATTAAAGTTTCAGGATTGTAGCTCGTTGGCCTCCACTTGCTTTGAGGATCCTGAAACCAGGGCAGGCTTATAAGAACTGTCTTTAGCTGGGTCTGGTCTTTGGCTTGGGAAAGAGAAATGCTTTGAACACCATGGCAACCCTGGGGCACTTAGAAGATATTAATCTACCTTAGAGAGATTGGAGTCCTTAGAGAAACTAATGGTGGAGCGGGGGAGAATGTGATTCTGGAAAGTGCTGACCAGTGCGAGGAGAACTGGTGTGAAATGGGTTAAGATGTATTATTTTGAGCTACTAAGTTTCTGCCAACTCACATACTGACCTTGTGCTCTGGTTTGTTTTGTCAAAAGATCTATATGCACGTACTCCGTGTGAGCTTGTCCTGTCTGATTCCCAAAGATTTCTCCAGCCCCAGCCTTGTGTTGGAATACCAGGCTTCAATTTCTCACCATGTCTTTGGCGATTGCACCAGCATATCCTACTAACACCTCAAGTCCAACATGCTCAGACCCAGCTGTGTACTTTACAAGGCATCGACAAGATAAGGGCCCCTGCTGCAGCAGCTGATGTTTTTAAGATGAGGATTTGGGTCCAGTTCTCTCCACCAAAGTGGGAGGTGATTCCAGATCTGCAAGGTGAGCAGGATGATTTTGTAACAAACGCAAACCCATAGACCTATCAAATAAAGAGTCTTTAAAATACTCGTGTTTTGTGCTTTTTCTTTAATTTAGGCTTTTTGTTGCAGGGCTCAAGGGGAACTACTCCAGCAGTCCGAACCTGTAATTTGCAATATTACTTGGGCCTAGAGTTCTACATACTCCTGTCAGGATCGTCTTGGAAAAAGTACAGAAATCTATTTAACCCTTAAGTTGAACCACGTGAAATTCCCCAATGCTAAATGTTAGACTTTTTTATTTAAAAAAATAAACTGGCATTTTTATAGCTTCAACCTAATATGCAGACGCTCCATGTTATTGAATAAGCTCCCGTGCGGGACACTGGAGAGAAGGCAGACGCGAAGTTTCCAGAGTAAAGGGAGGAGAACCGCGCGGGAGAGGGTGTGGCGGGACCAGGCTATACCTTCTTCCACTGCAGAAAGAAGTTCGAGCGTCTTCTCTCCCGGCGCAGCGTGGGAAACGCGGGGACACCAGCTCCACCCTCCACTCCGCCCATTCAAGTCGGCCTTTCCCGGCCACCGCGAGCCTGACCCCGCCCCGTTTTGCGGCCGCCGTAAAGCGTGGCCCCGCCCCTTCGCGCGCCTCTTATGACGCAGGCGCCGTGGGCTTTTTGCGCGGGAAAAAGAAGGTGCCCCCGGCTGTAGCTGATATCGCAGGAACCGGCTGTTTTCGCGGAGGCAGCCGCCTGCTCCGGTGCCTTGCCGGGCATGGGGCTGCTGGAGCTGTGCGAGGAAGTGTTTGGCACCGCCGACCTTTACCGGGTGCTGGGCGTGAGGCGCGAGGCTTCGGATGGCGAGGTCCGACGTGGCTACCATAGGGTGTCCCTGCAGGTGCACCCGGACCGGGTGGGAGAGGGCGACAAGGAGGACGCCACCCGCCGCTTCCAGGTGCGCGAGCCCCCACCCCGAAGCAGACCGGCCGCCCGGGCTTCGGGCCACTGACCCTGCCCAGATGCAGTGCGCCGATGCCGGCCTGGCATTTTCTAATCTTTATTTCTCGCGGCGCGGTTTCTGTGGGAGTTGCAGGCGTGACTTTAGGGTGCTCTTTTCCTGCAGATCCTCGGGAAAGTCTATTCGGTTCTAAGTGACAAAGAGCAGAGAGCAGTGTACGATGAGCAGGGAATCGTGGACGAGGACTCTGCTGTGCTCAGCCAAGACCGGGACTGGGAGACGTATTGGAGGTTACTCTTTAAAAAGGTAGGCGACTTTGGGGGTTTTTTTGTGGCCATTCTCACCATTCAACAAACGTTTACTGAGTGTCTCTTAAGGCCCTGCGTTTTCTGTTTATTCTGTAGGAATGAGGAATTTGAGTTTGGCCTCTCCCCACCCCCCCCCAAAAAAGTGTATAAACTTACTGAAAAGGGCCTAAATTTCCTGTTGCTATAGTGTGAGTGTTGCAGTGAAAAGGAGGGGATTGACTGATGCAGTGAAAAGGGAAGATGTATTTTATTTACAGGATGTACTTTATCTTAGATATTCAAATGTGTGTAAGTCCTGAATATTTTTCTGTTCTTTTCCCACCTTTGCGTCATTTAAATTTTGCTGGTCACTAGTAATTTTCAAGGTTGGACTAGGGCGAACTCTGGAACAGCTAAGGCACAGATAACTTGGTTCCTTGCAACAGTTTCAACTCAAGCAATATTTGGGGAAAAACATTTCAACACCTAAATCATCTCTAGTTTTACTAGTATACTTTTTATTTAAACTAAGATTCTCAAAGTTAAAGCTTATCTCCTTTATCTGTTTAGATCTCTCTAGAGGACATTCAGGCTTTTGAAAAGACATACAAAGGTTCTGAAGAAGAGTTGGCTGATATTAAACAGGCCTACCTGGACTTCAAGGGCGACATGGACCAGATCATGGAGTCTGTGCTGTGTGTGCAGTACACAGAGGAACCCAGAATAAGGAACATCATTCAGCAAGCCATTGACGCTGAAGAGGTCCCATCCTATAAAGCCTTTGTCAAAGAATCGAAGCAGAAGATGAATGCAAGGAAAAGGAGGGTATGATTTTGAATGCTAGTTATGATTTATATCTTGCTTGCTTCCGAAAAGAATTTGAGGATATTTACAAGAACGGAAATATACACAAAACCCCTGAAATAAGATTAGGGTTAACTTGTTACATGTTGTTGTTGATTCTAATTCATAGTGACCCCATGTGACAGAGTGGAACTGCCCCATAGGGTTTTCTTGGCTGTAATCTTTACAGGAGCAGATCTCCAGGTCTTCTCTCCTGCAGAGCGGCTGGTGACTTCAAACCACTGACCTTTCAGTTAGCAGCCAAGCACTTAAACTATTGTGCCACCAGGGCTCCTTAACTTATTGATTGTTCTCATCTAATAAAATGAGCACAGCAATTCATCTGCAGAAACTTTTTTCCCTAGTATGTTGTGCTCAAGATTTTACTGCATAGATTGTTTAATATCACCTTAGAGTGACACGGAAATGGTCTTCATTTGGGCTGATTCTTGTGGCTCTGCTGAGGCATTTCTCAGGAAAGTAATGGAGTCCAGGTACACATGCTAGACAGTGGTTCTCAGCTGAGGGGAAGGAGGTGGCAGAGACTGTGTTTTGTTAAAATTGCAGGTTCCTGGGCCCAGGATATATATATATATAGTTTTTAAACAGACGTTTATTCTGATGAAGGTGTCTTTCCAACCACACTTTTGAGAAACACATTTGTCAAGAATCAAGAATTGGGGTCTATGTGTCCTTGACACCCAATATTCCCGTGGAGTTGATGTGGGTAGAGGCTGGCAGCAGAAGAAAGGAGCTTAAGGACTGGTGGAGTTATGGGAGGGAGTGGATACAAGGTCGCAAACATCTGGGCCTCTGGTCTCTGGGAAACAGTGCCTGGCACCAGCACTGAAGTAATCATTGCCTCCACCTGGCTTTGGCAGTAAGTGCTCCATGGCGAGCAGACAATTTAAGATTTAGATGTTTAGCGGGCACCTGAGGTGCCTTTATTGTGTGGGTGAATAGGGGGAAAAGGGCTGCAGCTTTTAGATACAAGATACACATGAGGCGAAGCTGACATCTCGGGGTGGGGGGTGAACATTTTAAGGGCTGCCCGACTTGCCTAGATAAAATGCGCTGCCATCTGTGTGTTGGGGATCAGTGGGGAAAAGTGGAAGGTATATCAAGATCACCATTTAGGCTCAAAAGCTATATCTGCTTAGACTCAAGCTGAAGGTTTATCTCAAGCTGGTAATCATTTTCTCAGGCGAAACTGAACCCAGCTGTATTCAGTAACAGGATGCTAGCTTGAGAAACTCGCCTGTACAGTTTGAGGGGAAAGGGTATAGCTTTTACTCTCCAGGGAACTTGGGGGGGGTTGGGATGCAGGATTTAGGAGATACTTTGAATACAAGGATTGTGAATAAAAGGTGGAAACTGTGTGTCTTTATTGGGATAACAGAGTCCTCCACTGGACGGCAGTGGGTTTTGTTTTGTTTAATATATCATCATTCCTAGTGTTAACAATATTGATTGCTACTTAGAAAATTCATAGTTTGGGCCTCTTGTAGTTGTTGCTCTGAAAAGAAGACTTACTGACTTTCTTAAAGTGTTCTTGTGGTATTTTGGAAACAATCACCCTAGGATTATTTGGCAAAAGAAGGTTGCTTTGAAGTCAGGTAAAGAAATGTTAAAACTGAGCTTGTTAATGTTGTTTCTTCTAACGACTCTAGAGAAGTCCTGTAAACCAGGGTTGCTCACGAGGCTGCCACCAGTCAGCGTGTAAACTGATCTGTAGAGGAGGGATCTGAAGTGCTGTATGCTGGAAACACTTCTGAGGGCATCTAGGTGAAGGGGCCTTTCCTAGCAATCCTAGCATTTTGTTTTCCTTTTTATCACCATGTGGTTTATGAGTACTGAAGTCCTAATGGATCCCCTAGCAAGTAAAAATGGGAAAAGCTCAGATTTAGAAATGCTAATTAGAATCAGTGGGCCTACTGCTTGCTCTCAGCAGTGTTGCCTTTTAATGAATATTTATGTAATTTTATTCTTTTTGTCTATTCATATAATCCCCAACTTGAAAGGGCTTTTACTCTGATCATAGGTTTGCTTTTGGGGAAGAGTCTATTTTAAGCATTTGTTAGGTTGCCATGGAGTCTCAGATGAGTTTCTGTTTCAGGCTCAGGAGGAGGCTAAAGAAGCAGAAATGAGCAGGAAGGAGTTGGGGCTTGGTGAAGGGGTGGATAATTTGAAAGCAGCCATCCAGGTAAACTTGCCATGTTGTCTGTGAAGTCTGCCACCACTTTTTTCATGTTCTGATTCCATTACTCCTATTTTATTTGGAGTATATGTATAGTGTTGTGGATTCTTTGTTTTTTTTTAAGACCAAATCACATACCCTAATTCACCCTTTTAAATTGTACTATTCATTGGATTTTCGATATTCACAAAGTTGTACAATCATAACCACTAATTCTGGAAAAGTTTCATCACCCCAAAAAGAAACCCTGTACCCATTAGCAGTCACTCCCCACTGTCTCCTCACCCCAGCGCCTGGCCACCATTCTATGGATAGTACTGTTTTAAAAGCTTGTGTTTTAACTTTCCCAACAGAGCAGACAGAAGGATCGGCAAAAGGAAATGGACAATTTTCTGGCTCAGATGGAAGCAAAGTACTGCAAACCTTCCAAAGGAGGAAGGAAAAAAACATCTGTCAAGAAAGAAAAGAAATAATGGAATTTTTTTCTTCAAATGTCCTTTATAGACAAGTTGCAGTCAAGATTTGAGGACACCAGTCCACCCAAGAGAACTTGCCTTTCCAGCCTAAATTGCTCAGATCAACTGTGTAAACCAAGCAGAATCTCAACCTGATCTTAAGTATTTCTTGGAAATCACCTGACATTCTGTGAGGTCCTCACATAAAGGAATTTGGTGGTGGTGGCTGGAGGGGTGGGGGAGGGCGGTATACCTTCTGACAGTACTGGCTTCTATGGCTCTTCTGTAAAGGGAACTGTCTAGAATGTGCTGTCCAGAGTGAGCTGCAGTGTTGACGCACATTAGAACAGGGACTCTACCTAGCAGAACTCCTTCAGCACCTGCTAAGCAGCTGCCTTCCAAATACCTGCCCGTTTGCTTTCAGTCGTAGTGATCTTGAATAGACCTGCTCTCCTTTTTGTTTTACTCAGCAAGATTCTATACTGTGTACTTGAAGTTTAGGAGAAACAGGTGTTCAGATTACTTTAAGCATTTTTTTAAAGACATACATGATTAAATAAACAAATCAAAAATGACTAATGTTCTGGAAGCTTTTAAAATTATCCCAGTGATGATTTAAAATATGGTCTGGAAAAAACATGAATGGTGTTCAGGTCAGAGAAGAGGGAAGAAAAGTAGTCCCGTTCAGCGTTAGAATAGACACCCCAGTTTAAGCAGCATAAAGAGACGAGAATTGTAGTACTGCCTCTTAACTGCTGAATGTCCCTGGGCAGGTCACTGAGCTTGTCTCAGCTAGTTTCCTCAGCTGTCAAAGGGCTGAGGGAGTTGGGGTGACTTCTCAGGGCCCCTTCTGACTCTTAACTCTGACTCTGAAGGCCAGCCATCTTGGCCCAGCAGTTTGTTGTGATGCTTATACTCATGGTGTTGGTTTGTGAAAATAGTACAGCATCTCACTTATATTTGACTTGGTATGTATTCATTAGAATATATTAAAAAAAAATTAGGGACTGTCCAACTTAAAATCTCCAACTTGTAGATTAATCTATTCAATACCATATGCATAAAACAAGCCTTAGTACCGAGCTTTATAGATCGTAATTTATCTGAGGGAAGTACGTGACACATTTTCAGTTTCTAATTATAAAAAGGTTAAAAAATACTCTTTAATTGTATTAAAAATATAATCAAGCAGGTTGTTTGAAGCATATGTCTTTTCATGTGACAGCATTAGAACACTAATAATAAAATAAAAAGTTACCCCAGTTTATGATCACTTGTATTGCCCAGTCTGAAGATAAACAATACGATCTAAAACTTGTATAACAATCAGTATTCAATGAAATTAAATATTGTGTAAATTTAAGCCATAGTTAAAATCATTGCTGCATTCATGAGGGCCCTCAGGAAGTAGACCATGGGAACATCAGAAGAACGCCCAAGCTCTGGACTTCTGCTCTTAACTGACATCAGAAGCCATTCGTCACAGGATGTGTTTATACTGGACGAATTGCCAGGGTTGCTTCCATTTTTAAGGACTTGCACCTTGGTGGCTCGTTAACAGCAAGAGTCTACAAAGTATTTTTAAATTGACTTTCCTAGTGCTGCAGGAGAAAATTTGGCAAGATGAGTTTAACATTTGGGGAAAAAAAGGACCCATAAGGTACTTTAAGTAGAAAATAAGCATAACCTGATACCAAGCAGGCAATGTGAGGCTGAGCTATCCTATGTGAAAAATATACAAAATGTTAATTTACACTGATGCTAAACAGTTTTGTCTTTGGTTTACTCACTCCTTCCATATCTATCTGCCTCTAGGATTGGACATCTAAAGAGAAACCTTTAAAAATGACATCTGTTTGATGAGTAGTTCAGATTTTTGACAGCACTATGTCCTAAAAATAACTTACAATTAAAACAGTATAGTGCTCTAGAAATTAGGTCAAGCAGAAGTGTTCTGAAGCCAATGATAACTAATGTTACCAATCATTTGCTGTTTTTTGTGTATGTATAGTCTCACAGAATCCTGTAATAATTGAACTGATCATTGTTAACAGACAACATGAGCTGTGATTTGGGGGTAATTATTCATTGTTACATCTCTGGGTACAAACTTTCCTGTCCGGTGAAATAGGCTTTTACTGGAAAAAAAAAAAAAGTGGAGATAGAAACAATACCCAGGTAATCTTTGGCAGATACTCTGTTGTGTTTTTCTCGGTCAGCGGAACCAAAATAACTCTTCATGAAGATGGTTTCAAGTTGTTTTTTGTCTGCAAACTCTGCATGAGGAGATGACAACACTGGTCCGTTAAATCTTCAGACATGTTCCCTGAAGCCTGGTTCCAGGTCCTTCTCATTTGCCCTATGGTCCTTGCCTGGTTCTAGAGACCGGTCCACCTCTGCTTTGAGCTTTTGTAGACCCACGTAACTGAGGACCTGTCATGAAAGAGTGACATCAGTAGACATTTTAGATTTGGTAATCTCAAAATTGTACTAAAGGCTTTTTTGCTCCAATTATCAGTTGGACTTTAATTTTGGAGACTGGAACAAAGTAGTATATGTTGACCTAAAAAACCAAAACCAAACCCATGGCTATCGAGTGGATTGCAACTCTGAGCAATCCTACAGGACAGAGCAGAGCTGCCCCATAGGGTTTCCAAGTCTTTATTCTTAAGATACGAAAACAGTGATCTAGGTTGGAGAGGAGCCCACTAATTAAAAAGGTCTGTTTGGTTTAGATATTATTTAACAAGTGTTAACATGTATTTACACCTGACCATTAACCTGGCTGAATGTAGTAACTACAGCTTAGGGGCAGCACTGTTTCCCTAAGAGGAGTGATCTGAGAAACCGCATCAACTGAAAGCATTTAAAGACTCCCAAATGATGCTACTAGGAACTGTACTGAGACTTCGCATGGACTTCAAAGATGGTTTGAGGCAGAACAGGTTTTCTTGCACTTGCTGATTAATCTTCTGAACGGTAAACATTTCAACTGCCCAGTACTTACAAATTTCACCTACAGCATGATGAGAATGGCCCTGCTGGTGGTGAGAAGGCCGTCATGGGAATAAGTAAGACATCCCTAAATTGTCTCCTATCCTTCCTGCGTTAATAGAATCTATAGAGTAGAATAGAGATCAAAAGGGAGTTGATGAGATAGGATCAGACTGAGCATATCTTGACAGTTTAGGATTTCTTACGTTTGCCTGGCAAGTTAACTGATCAAAGCAGTTTAATTTGTAGCAATGTGTATTTTGCCTACATAATAAAAGCCATGCCATGTTCTTGAAGAGTATTTTAAATGTTATAAAAATGACTTCTTTGGCTTAGTTTTTTTTAGATTAAAAAACAAAAACCGCAAAGTACTGTCTACTTTGCTAGAATAGTGAGAGGTTAATTTATATGGCATGAGAAAACTGAAATTTTGGAACTTCTTGGCTCTGAGCAGTAGACCTCTCTTCTTTTAGTTAAATCCATCTTCCAAAATGAATTTGAGATGGTTTACAAAGATGTAGGAAAACTAAATACGAGGAAATCAGGAGGAAAGGAAAATATGCATAGAAGAAAATAAGACAAAGCCAAGGTCTTAGCATATCCGAACAGCAGTGAGATACTGCCGTACCTGCAGATCCCCTGCCAGGACGGGCCTGATGAGGATACTCAACAGCGCATGAACGATGACACTGTGCGTCCGGCTGAAAGAAAAGATGAGAGACTTCTTAACAATGTGACTTCTCTCAAAGGATAATACTTCTGTACATTTACAAAGGAGAACCTTGAAGTCGGACAATAATGTATATAAAAAGAAAGCATAATCTGCCAATCTGAGGGACAAACTGGCTTGAATGCACTGTGTTGAATTCAGAGTAGAAAATCCCAAGCCAGAGGCCTACAACGCCACTTGTTAACTTGTAAAGATAGCAAATTCTACAACTTTATTAATATGCGTTTTTAAAAAAAACTCAGCATTTATAAATAATCCACATGGTTTGATATTGTAGTTAGCTTCCAACAGTTCTATCTAATTTCTCTTTATTGCCTGCAAACCAATGACCATATGGCCTTTTCAGCAATATTGAAACACCGTAACTTTACCGTCTTATTTTACATGTCATCTACATTCACGTTGTTGGCTTTGTGAAACTCAAAAAACGTTTCAAAATTACCTCAAGGAATTTAAAAATTTAAAGATATGACTAAAATGTTAAAATGTAAATCTCCAAGAGCAAGCTTTAAACACCATCCTGCTGGGGCTTCTAGAATAAAAAATAACCCCCTTAGCTCCCTGTCAGAGTGCTGGAATCAACAGACTTCAGGAATTGGAAAGAATCTTAAATATATTCTGGTGAAGCCCCCATACTCCAGATCAGGAGTCAGCACACTTATATTGTGTGAAGGGCCAGGTAGTCAACGTTCCAGGCACTGTGGGCCATACATGTGCTGTTGCATCTACTCGGTGCTGCCGTTGTAGTGCAACAGCAGCCACAGACAGGACATGAATGAGTGTGGCTTTGTCCAGTACCATTCACAGAAACAAATGTGGCTATCTTCCAATAAAACTTTATTTATAAAAACAGGCACAATTATAAGAACTGACGGCCAGTGAGCTGTAGTTTGCTGACCCTTTTTCTAGACAAGAACACCAAGGAGCAGGGTGCTAGTCTGGCAGTGCCAGGCCCAGGATTCAAATCTAGGGCTCTTAACTACAATGATCATTAATTTGAATAGCTCCCTTTTTATGACGGCAAAGTGGGAAAGCAATGGCTAAGGTAAGTAATTTTTACTTCTGTTAACATCATTAAAAACATTTGAAAAAGAAGAAACTTTGAAATGTTTGCCTCTGTTCAGTTTTATTCTGAAGGCAACCAAAAGTTTTTGGTAGGAAAGAATCTAGCCTATAGAACATGTTCATCAAACACTGCTTAACAAATATTCTGGATTAAATTATGAGAAGCATTCAATAGAGGTTCTCACACTTTCTGGGGTCCACGTGGAATAAGATCACTAATGCTCACATTTCCTCTCTGCCCTTGTTTTGGGTGCATCTCCCCCCAGATCAAGCCTTGAGGTCCCACTCACTCATTCTCACCACCCTTCTCATGGAGGAAAGACTGCATGGTGCTTTAGGCTGGTATGGTTCAAGGGTCATGAGTTGGGGTAAGCTGGCCCAAACTCCACCATCCTGGAGAACGGAGCAGGATGTGGGGTCCTGGTTCCTGGCACTAAGTGTGAGCCCCAGTCACTTCCCCAAGCCTATTACCACAAAGCAGATGAGGTGGGACTGAGCTCCTGGCCTTCAGCTAGGCAAGGTCAGCACCTGATCCCCATCCTCCCACCCAGGTTTTCTCTATTGCTGAAAAGTAAAAGAGCTAGTAACTGCACAGTAAGTGGTAAGGCAGTGTCAGCACTCCAAACACGAGTGAACAGAAATGAAAAGTCCTATCTACTTATCCACCAGTCCAAATCACAATCTGATACCACTTCTGGTATAATTCCACAAGGGCAGGGCTAGTGAATGAAGTTGTGCTTATCTGATATGCACTGGAGTTTAACATTATTTTGCTTGTGCTCAGAAATATATATCTAAACTTTAAATTGTTTAGAACTTACAATTTATGTATAAGGCATGTTGCCAACATGTCAAAAGAATTCCTAGTACTTCAGTGAGTTGCAGAGACCAGTCAGAATTTTAACAAAATGTGCTTATAACACTATTTTTATCATCAGAAACTCAATTTTTATTCTTGGAACTCATTAGGCCACTATATAAAGTCTTAAGAGTCTGCCAAACTAGTTCCCCACACCGCCCCCACCCCGCCGCCAGCTCATTTCTTTTCCCAACTATCAAGACCATAGAGGAAGTATGTCACTACCAGAAATGACTGAGTTGTGTTGGGCCTGGAGAAAAAGTCAGGTAAAAAGAGCCTCTCCTGGGGCTGCTGATGGTTCGGCTCGTCCACCACCGCACTTCGGGCTCGACTGGAATCGCTATGGGGTTTCTGCAGAGGAGACAAAAGTTACAGAAATAGTTTAAGCTATTTGTAGTGGGATAAGTGCATGCCCTGCATCAACTCTCGTGGGTATGGTAACTGCAAGCCAAGCTCAATTGTCCTGAATTAAAGCTCAGTCTGTACTGTTGACAGAATCCAGTATAAATCTGGCAACAGCTCATATCCCGTAGAATTACTGCCATGGGTTTTATAACGAGCACATAGAAAGGCAATGTGAAAGAGACGTACCATTTGCCTTTGTGGTCCCACAGCACTCAGATGTTCCACCTCAGCTGTACCAATAGGTGGCAGCAGATTATTTCGACTCAGGGGCATTGGTGAGGGAGAGGAGAGCGAGTCAGCTGCCGCTGGGCTGCAGATCCCACCAGGGAACAGCAAGATACAAAAGAATCAAGTTAGAACAATACAAGCAAACTGATTAGAGTGCAAATACATGAAGCAGGTAAGTTTAATGTCATGAACAGAAAGTTTAAGCTGCCTACGCTTTTAAGTAAAGAAATCTCAAAAAAGGATTTCTGAAAATTAGTTTTTTTTTTTTTTAAATAGTATTTTTGGAGTTTTCTGAAGCTTTGTCCTGGGCACACAGCAGAAATTGGCCCTTCTCTCACACAACTAGAATGATAAAATTTTCCTATCTGGTGCTGTACTTTTCTGCTAATTATGGATTTTTAAATTCACATCTGATGGAATTTTTCCACAGTTCTGGACCTTCTAGTTGTCCTTCTCACGAATACCTATGATACCCAGGTGAAGTACCTAAACTTTCATTTCCTTCCACAGGATGAGATACTTGCGGTATAACCTAAGACAATAAGTGAAAACGGAATACTTTCATGCCCCAGCAATTACAAAGCGACTTATTTTTAAACTTTGGGGGAAAAAAAGCAGTGTCAGAAGGATGAGAGATTAATTATATATTAAGACCATCCATCCCCAAGTGAATGGACAGATGGGTCAATGTCGGTGTAGATGTAGCTCTATCAACATAATGAAACAGTGAGCAGGTGAGGACACTGGTGGCCTGACTAGACTTTTGGTGGCTGTGGGCATCCCTCTTGGCGAGTCTACTGGAATAAACTCTAACAAGTAACTGAAAAATCAAGATCAAGAAATAACATGTTGGGAGAGAAGCACAGCGACACAGGTTTAACTTAGAAGCTGAATTCGAAACACAATTGTGGCTTCGCTCTCTCATATCCTTGAGCGCAGATCCTAGAAATCAATTATCCCAAGATGTTTTATGAATCAACAGCTAGTGAAATAATTTCATTTTAAAAAATGGCTTCTAGATATTTTGTGCACAAGCAGGCTCAGTGTTAAGTGAATGATAGGTGGGAAAAGAATATTTTTAGTGTTATTTCCTAAGAAGCACTAAGGGATATTTTTCCTGGTATACAAGCAATGAAGGTTTATAGTTTTTGTTGCCAATGGAATAAGCAAATCTCAATGGCACAGAAAAACATTTGAGGAGAATTTACTATTATTTTGGGATGAATTTCGTTAAACACGTTCCCACTAAGCAAAATGTTCAATAAAGTACATGCATCTTTTATTCCTTTGGTAAACCCAACTGTAGTATTCCATCCAACATTTGTAGAAATATAAATCTTTAGTTAAATCAACAGAAAGATCCAATACCTGTATTTCATTAAAATTTGACCCCTTTTTTCTGTATTAGATTCAAACCAATGTGCAATGCATCATAAGAATATTTAATGATTAGTTTCCAGGCATAGATATTTTTATATTTTAATTAATTCTTTATGTAAACTTCCTCTTCATTAGTTTATCATAGTTTCCAGAAATTCTGCTTTTGAAACCTACACTCGGGTTCCTCTGAGGAGATCTTCCACAGGTCTTGGCGTTCCAGCGCGTGAATGGCTTGTGCTGATTGGATGAAGGGTACGTGGTGGGGGGTTTCGTCTCCTGACAGACTGCACTGTATGTGACAGAGATGAGGTACTAAGCTCCAGGGCTCGATTTGGCCAATTTCTGGTTGAAAGGATGGTACTGGACCCAGGCCTCATAAGTAGCTTGTCATCAAGATCTCTAGTGGCCAAATCAGAAACCCACAATGTAATACACATCATTATGTACAGGGAAACATGTCTCACATGGTATAAAACCTTGAACTCTACAATACATTTAAGGGAGAAAAAAGCAAAAAGAAAACTTTTTAATAAGTAACCTAGTCTCCTGAAGGAAATCTAGCTGAGGCGTGAGAATCTGTTCTTAAAAGCAGGGCATTTTTTCAATTATAAACGTAAGTAATTTACTAGAATAGAGATTTGGGACAGCAAGTCCGTTATCCACCTGCCCTGCCACCAAAGCCAAATCTTCAGTCACCAGCACAGGGTGAACCTATTCCACAGTGCTTCCCAGGAGCTTACCACAGGGACTGAGATTTCTACCATATCTGAGACATTCTTTTGAGCTGAAGGAACATTACCAGACTTAGCTGAAAGGCAAATATTGCTGCTTGAGAGCAGCTGTGGTACCACTGGGGCTCCCACTGATGAGATTAAAATGCTAATTGCAGCCTGCAGGGGCAGGAGTTCAGATCTGGGTTCCTTGGAAAGCTGGAAGCAGGCAAAGGGTCCAGAGCCTTTTAGGGCAGTGGGACCAGAGTCAATCCCGCATTTGCATCTACAACTGTGAAATACAGAGGTTACCCTTCTCCATAATTAGTTTGATAAATAAAATACCATACCAAAATAGTTCAGCTGCTTGAACACTGCACTACAGATTGAGGGTTTTTTGTTTTGTTTTTTATTCTTAAGGCAGGTGAGAGGAAGTTTGACTCTATTACATGACATCTGAGAGAGAATATCTCCACAATGGAATGGAAGGGGAAGTCAAAGAGAAAAGCAACTAAGCTCTGCCACTTGCTCCTGTGGGTTCCAGCAAGTTTTTCAAGCTTTCAGGCCACTTTGGTGCCCTCTCGTATATGGGATCAAACTGACAACACCAACTGGAAAGGTCAGATAGTAAGCTTAGGGGGCAGTGAGTTTATGTTAACGGGGGAAGAACAATTCGGAAAAGGGTAAGAATGGTTGCGCAGCTTGAAGAATGTAATCACTGTCACTGAATTGTATATGTAGAAATTGTTGAACTGGTGTATGTTCTGCTGTGTATATTTTCAACAACAGCAAAAGTCAAGAAAAAACTGAAAAGAAAAAAAAAGATTACAGCCTAGAAAATCCTACGAGGCGGTTCTACTCTGTCACATGAGGTCGCTGTGAGTCAAAAATTGACTCAATGGCACCTAACAACGTGTGTGTGTGTGTGTGTGTGTGTGTGTGTGTGTGTGTGTGTAAAGGCTCACACATTATTCAGATCTCTGTTTTTGTCTGCCTGATCTATCAGTTGCTAAGCAGAACGTATTAAAATCTCCAACTGCAAAAAAAACAAAAACAAAAAACTTCTGTGTCTGGAGGATTTTGAAGGAAAAATGCCCAACAGGGTGAAACTTTGAGTATTACTCACAAGAGATCTTCCTGGTCTTCCCCCCTTCCTAACTATTCATCTTAACAGATTCTCATTCACTAATATCCTTTCTTTACATGCCCTGACTGAACTTTCTAATTACTAAAGGTTTAGGCCTTAGTTGCCCTATGCTTATCTTCATTTTGTGGGCAACTCATTCATAATTCTGGATTTAATTATTATTTCTAGCCAGGGGACTTCTAGATCAACCTTCAAACCTGACCTCTCCACATTTCCAACAAGATGGTCCATCACTGTAAACTCAACACATCCCAACCCAAACCCATCTTTACCCCCAAAACAGGTCTCCCTCAAGCACGAAATCTCAGAGCTTTGATTTCTCTCTACTTCCAGAGAATTTGATTTTTTTTTTTTTTTTTTTTTTTACAGTATTACCTAATATAGTTCATTGCTTTCTATCCTTTGCTACAACTTGAGTGCAGACCCCTGGCAGCTCATTAACCCTGCTTTGGTCTCCTTACCTTCAGTCTCTCCTGCTCCAGTCTATATTCTGCTGCGGTGAAATGGGCCTTTCACAGCTCTGATTTAAATATATGTGCTCCCAACTTGTACAAGACAAGGTCATGGAAGCTTCATAGACAATCCAAACTTCCTGCTGGGCTGAGGGCTTGGGGAAGATGGTCTCAGGGAACATCTAACTCAATAACATAGTTTATAAAGAAAATGTTCTACATTCTACTTTGGTAAGGAGCGTCTGGTATCTTAAAAGCCTGTGAGCAGCCATCTAAGATACTCCACTGGTCTCACCCCTTCGGGAACAGGGAGAATGAAGAAAACCAAAGACACAAGGGAAAGATCAGTCCAAAGGACTAATGGACCACAACTACCATGGCCTCCACCAGACTGAGTCCGGTAACTAGATAGTGCCCGGCTACCACCACTGACTGCCCTGACAGGGATCACAATAGAGGGTCCTGGACAGAGCTGGAGAAAAATGTAGAACAAAATTCTAACTCAAAAAAATAAAAAACAAAAAACACCCAGACTTACTGGTCTGACAGAGACTGGAGAAACCTTGAGAGTATGGCCCCTGGACACCCTTTTAGCTCAGTAATGAAATCACTCCTGAGGTTCACCCTTCAGCCAAAGATTAGACAGGCCCATAAAA